TCACTGGCCCTCATATGTGGGATCCGAACCGGGGCCCTCTGGTGTCCCAAGCCAGTTCTTAACCATCGCGCCACTCGGCCGGCCCAAGTTAACTTATTCTTAATAGGCAGTACATACACATGATACAAAATTCAAAATATACAAAAAGGCACATATTGGAATAAGAAAGTCTTTTTTCCCCAGCCCATCTACTTTCCCTCTCCAAAAGCAACAACTGTTAAATTTTGTGTGTATCTTAAGCTGCTGTTGTAAATTAAAAGCAAAATTAGTTAACAAAAGCTGGTTCTAATTCAAGATAGTGACCAGGAATAAGAAAATGACAGATATTGGGATTTCTGGTCAAGATGGTGGAGTAGGTAAATGCTGTGCTTACCTCCTCTCACAACCACTTCAAAATTATATCGAAACTACAGAACCATCATTCAGAATCACCAGAAGTCTAGCTGAACTGAAGCCCTACAACTAAGGACATACATACAGAAGAGGCCATTGGTAGGAGGGGCAGAGACGCAAAATGAGCTGGTCCCACACCAGTATGTGACCATTAAAAATTGGGAGGGCCATCTTGGCTGCAGAGGACCTCCTGGAGGAGCAAAGGGTCCCAGCTCCACATCAGGCTTTCGAGCCCTGGGTACCAGTGCTGGGAGAGAAGTTCCCATCTTGCTATGAAAACCAGCACAGATTGTGGCTGAGTGAGAATGAAGGTGGCTACATTCCCAGATGCTCCTCTTAAAGGGCCTGCACACAAACTTACTTGCTGATGGTCTCACTTGCTCTGAGCCCCAGCACTGGGGCAGCAGCTAGTAGGGTGCCAGGGGCATATTGATAGGAACTGAGTTGTCTGGCTTCAGAGCGAGGGTTGGAGGGGAAGCTTTATCCTGGATGGAGGAGCTGGCAGAAGACATCGTTCCTTTGTTGAGCCTGCTCCCTCCTGGCGTGCAGACACAGGTGGCCACCATATGTGAGTCTCCATCAACCTGGCTAAGACTATTCATTCACCCTGCCCTGGTAATTCCCTGAGACCCCGCCCCACCCAACATTCGGGCACACCCAAGCCTCTTCCAGTAGCTTATCCATACAAACGATCTGTCTTGGCTCATGCTACAGACTATCCTAAAATCTCTCAAAGGTTCACAAAACCCAAATAAGCAGCATCTGGCTTTGGCGTGTCCTGTATCTCTTGCCGAGGAGCCCCAAGTCTGGCACTAGCAACAGCTGGCTTCAGTTTGTGGCTTGGCCTCTCAAGGCACCTCCAAACCCAGCTCAGCTGATGGCCAACTGTGGATTGCTTTGTGGCTCATTCCAGGTGGCCCCAGGCAGGGCACAGACTGTGGCTGAACTTGTTCTGAGGCAGGAACTCTCCGAGGAGGCCCCCAGGCTGGCGCACCCAGTGGCCAGCTTCAGACCGAGCTAGAGCATTACCCACCAACCTCCAAGGACAACACAGCCAACGGACAGGCTGGACAGGCACAAGAGCTCTGCTAAAGTGAATCCTGTTGTGTAGGATCAGCCCCTATACAACACCTCCTCCACTATAGTCACGACCAGTCCCCACAGCTAATTAACCCAATGGGTTAATCCCTCCAAATAATGTGCAATCAGAAACTAATGCTCAGCTACAACATGCGGGCATACACAACACCCATAGTGAACACACCTGGAGCACCCAGCTCTGGTGACCAGGGATACTGTGCCACTGGGCCCCATAGGACACCTACTACATAAGACCACTCTACTAAGACTTGTAGCAATTCTACCTAATACATAGAAACAAACAGGGGGGCAGCCAAAATGTGGAGACAAAGAAACATGTCTCAAATGAAAGAACAGAACAAAGCTCCAGAAAAAGAACTAAACAAAATGGAGACAAGCAACCTACCAGACGCAGAGTTCAAAACACAGGTTATAAGGATGCTCAGTGATCTCAGGCAGAACTTCAACAAAGAGATAGGAAACGTAAAAATAGAGATAGAAAACATAAAAAAGAACCGGTCAGAAATAAAGAATGCACTAACTGAAATGCAGAATGTATTACAGGACATCAACAGTAGATTAAATGAAGCAGAGCAGTGAATAAGCAATTTAGAAGATAAGGTAGCAGAAAATACCCAAACAGAACAGCAAAAAGAAAATAATAATAAAAAAAGGGGGATAGTTTTAGGGGCCTCTGGGACAACAGCAAGCAACCAACATTTGCATCATAGGGGTACTAGAAGGAGAAGAGAGAGGGCAATTAATTTTCAATTAATTAATAGGTTTTCAACCTATTTGAAGAAATAATGAAGGAAAATTTCCCTAACCTGATGAAGGAAATAAATATACAAGCCCAGGAAGTGCAGAGTCCCAAACAAGATGAACCCAAAGAGGCCCACACCAAGACACGTCATAATCAAAGTGCCAAAGGTTAGAGACAAAGAGAGAATCTTAAAAGCAGCAAGAGAAAAGCAGTTAGTTACTGACAAGAGAGCTCCCATAAGACTGTCAGCTGATTTCTCAACAGAAACTTTGCATGCCAGAAGGGATTAGCAGGAAATATTCAGTGATGAAAAGCAAGGACCTTATTACCAAGGTTACTCTACCCAGCAAGCTATCACTTAGAATCAAGGACAGATAGAGCTTCCCAGATAAGAAAAAGCTAAAGGAGTTCATCACCACCAAACCAGTATTACAAGGAATGTTAGAGGGACTTGGGACAAAAAAAATAAAAAATATGAGGAATAAAATGGCAATAACTACACATCTATCAACAATTACTTTTAATGCAAATGGATTAAAATGCTCCAATCAAAACATAGGGTGGATGAATTAATAAGAAAACAAGACCCTTACATATGCTGCCTACCAGAGACTCACTTCAGATTGAAAGACACACACATTTGAATTTAAAGGGATGGATAAAGATATTTCAAGAAAATGGGAATGAAAAAAAAAAAAAGCTGGGGTAACAATACTTATAACCAGAGAAATAGACTTTAAAACAAAGGCAATAACAACAGACAAAGAAGGACCGAGTAATCCCACTTCTGGGTATTTATCTGAAGAAACCCAAAATACTACTTTGAGGAGACATGTGCATCCATATGTTCATTGCAGCATTGTTTACAATGGCCAAGATGTGGAGGCAGCCTGAGAGTCCATTGATGAATGAATGGATAAAGAATACGTGGTACATATATACAATGGAATATTGCTCAGCCATGGATGGGAATGGGTTCTTTTCATCTGTGGCAGCATGGATGGACCTGGAGGAAATTGTGCTGAGTGGACTATGTCAGAGAGAGCAAGACAGATGCAATGTGATTTTGCTTATATGTGGAATCTAAAGAACGAAACAAACAAATAAAACAGATACAAACTCATAGATACAGAGAACATTTTGATGGTTGCCAGATGGGAGGGGCATTGGGGGTGGGTGAAAAAGGGGAAGGGATTAAGAAGTACAAATTGGCTGTTACAAAGTAGTCATGGGGATGTAGGGTATAGCATATGGAATATTATCAATAATATTGTAATAACTATATATGGTGTCAGATGGGTACTAGGTTTATCATGGTGATAACTAGGAGGGGGGTTGGAGGGCAGGGTGAAAAAGATGAAGGGATTAAGAAGTACAAATTGGTAGTTACAAATAGTCATGGGATGTAAAGTAAAGCATAGGGAATATAGACAATAATATGGTAATAACTGTGTATAGTGCCACGTGGGTACTAGACTAGTCAGGGAATCAGTTCTTAAATTATATAAATGTCTAACCATATGCTGTACACCTGAAATTAATATAAAATAATATGGAATGTCAACGGTAATGGAAAATTTTTAAAAAGTGGTGATGTGGGGGGAAGGTGAAGGGGAATAAGAGGTTCAAATTTCCAGGTATAAAATAAATAAGTCATGGGGATATAATATATACATGGGGGAGATAGTCAATAATATTGTGATAGCATGGTTCAATGTTATGGACTTATCATGGTTATCACTTTTTTAGGTGTATAAATGGTGAATAACTATGGTGTATACCTGAAACTAATACAATATTGTATGCTATGTCTATTTTAATAAAAATCTTAAAAAAGAAAATGACAGATTAAATGTTACATGCTGAGAACTACCATGCAATAATAATGTAATAATTGCTAGGTGACCATGAAAAAAACTTCATCTGATCTCAACAAAAACCTGCCTCTCCTTCCACCTGCTCCCGGAGTCTGGCCTTGTTCAATTATTGAAGTTTGGCTGAGACGGGCAACAATTTCAGTTTGACATGGAAAGATTCATACTTCCAAAGCAATTCTATTCTGCTGTTTTTACATAGAGACTTAAAGCTTTTCAATTGGGGAAGATGTCAGGCTATCTCCTTCCGAACCAATAGTTTTAGTCCTCTACTCACACAGCGCATGTCACCTCAATGCCAAGTGCTAACCACAAGGCAACGCA